ACACTTGGACTCGCCTATCCAGCGTTGTATGTGTGCACACACATTAATATGCGAGTGTGGACCAAAGGGGAAGAGCTGGACTTGCCTGGATTGTGGGGCAATTCAGACAACTACGCAAGCAAGGCAACTTGCCGGTATTCTCAGCGTGTTGACGCCAGAGTCTTAGACTTTTCTTTTTCGTTCTTATTAATATCTACACTTCTTGTTCTAGCAATTGATAATTATGAGACTGGTCAACCTCCACGTATGTACATTCGATGCTGCGGTTGACAGTTATGTAATTTGGCAAAAATTAATTGTTGAAAATGGCAAAGTGAACTGCCGACAGGGTGCTCTCAGGCCAATTGGCTTCTGTTCTATTTCATTGCCTACCTCTCTCCTCTGCTCTTGTCTCTTTCGTATGTGTATGTGAGTTGGTTCGTATTCTAGGCCTCCATGGAGTATATGAATGGAAATGCTTTTGGCAAACCGAACTCTAACAGGGCTGTAAAGTTCTAAATCAGAAAGTCGAGCTGCACAAACACAGGATTAACCTCGTGTGCAAGTGGCCGCCCCTCGCCCTCGACTCTCTCCACCCAGTCCTTTCTCAAATCGGCCGAAGAGACACAGGCCTTTGTGATTGTGCGCATTTTGACAAAACAACACACCCCTTCTGCTCTAGACGAATGGAAAGGAAAATTCTAGAGACTAGACTTAGAAGCGGGTATCTCAAACCATTGGGGCAGAAGCGTCTTTTAAGGGCGGGAGTTAGATAAGGTGATATGAGGACGGGTTCATCTGTGCACATGTCCCTCTGACCCCTCCATGTCCGCTCATTTGGCCCCTCTCTCGTCGTCCCTACAACTGTCCAAGTTCCCCTCGAGCCGATGTGACTCTTGAAGGCTTGGGGAATTGAATAAAAGGAGAGATTCTTTAATGGAGCAAATAGCAATGCTAAGAGCCCAAACAGCCACATATGTGAGTCGGCAGTCCCACAATGCATATGTGGCTGCTTAAATACGTCTATATATACACTTGGGAGTGTATATGCCTATACGAAGAGTCACTGAGTTGCGATGACTCTCCTCAGATTACATTGTTGGAGAGACTTTCCTTTCGTATGAAAATGCATGAGGAAGAGATTCAAAAGTCGACATCACCAGAAGAGGATGGTTGATTCCAGGTGTACTGCAGCCTGTTAGCTTTACTACAGCATTCAGGTTGACGCAGTCCACGACACATTCTTTCTCATTCCTGATTAAAAGTGACTGAGCTTTCGTCCATCATGTGATGGAAATCATCAGAGCTGGAACGCATTCTTGTAGAAGTCTTGACTTAGTGTTAGCATGAGACTCTTACAATAATGAGTTCCAGCTTTGATGATGTCCATCACATGATGGACGAAAGCTCAGCCAGTTTTCACCCAAAACTAGGTATGATGTCTTGTGGAATATGTCAACCTGTACGTCGTATTAAATTCAAACGGCTGCAGTACAACGAG